AATTCAAAATAAATTCTATGTGGTAAAAGATGCGTGAATAAATGCTTTGACAAAACATATAACAACGTAAAAATGTTATTTCAATACAAATATGGTGTTCAATTGCTTCAGTTAAGTTGGTCATAATAGATCAGAACAATACAAACATATTTTGGTATCTAATATTACGAAACCGCGAAATATATATTACAAATTATGATTAAAATGCGATAGCGAAATGACACAAGGGGATATTGAGGATCGTCTTTTGTTTTCGAATAATGGTTTTTCCGTGGTTATTCACGGCGTTCGATTTTTATATTTATTAACATAAATATCGCGGTAAAAATATGACGATATTCTTTAAGAGAGAAATCTCGTGGTTGCAGCTAAGACGTTTATTAGTAAGCTATAAACATGCGACACCGATTTAACGTACCTATTCATTTCTGGATTGCCGCAATTTATAAGTTTTTATGGTGAAAATAAATAGCTATATTTCTTCTTCTTTTTCTTCCATAGAGCGAGACACATCTTTCTCTTAAAATTTTTACACATTTGTAATATAATCCGTGATACTTACTAATAGTTTGTTTACACCAAAGTTTAATTGACATACAAATTTGTCAGCATCTATAATCAAAAAACACTTACAAATTATTGCCAAGGACTTGTTGTAATTTGTGACAAATTTATCGTATCGCACTATTTAATCATGCCGTGATTTATTGTTTAACCCAAAAGACCGTATTCTTTTCATCAGGCTTACAGGAAATTCGGTCGTAGGCGAGTAACAATCTTGTCGCATCGAATCCTATCGTGACGATTAGCGGAACGATTTAACGTTTAACATTGCCCACGCATCCAATTGTACCTAATACGTCGGTGGAGCTTCAACTAACACTAATAATTTTCGGTCCTACAGTGGTACTACATTCCATTTGATAAAGAAAAAAAAGAAATTTCCGCGGATTCTTCGGAATAAAATATAATTATTTTATTAGCATACTTTAATATAAAAATTGCTGTATCTAATGAAGTACAATATAATTTTGCACTTTGAGTCTTTATATTTTAATATAATACATACACGCACACACGCACCATCGACTTCTTCATATAAAAATGTATGAATTTTTAAGCTTATTTATTTCCTAACGAATCTATATTTTAATCAATTTTCTATGAATTTTTCTTGATAAAGTTATACTGTTTTGAAGAAAATTCTCTGATTCTCCTGAGCAATACAACAGTTTAAAAAAAATTTGTTTCCCACTTCTCAAAATCTATTTTCAACATTCGCTATTTTGTAAAACATTTTTGATAACTCAAATTTGGTTTTTAAGAAGAATATTCAAGCTATAATTTAAACTATATTTTATATCAATACGATGATTTTATTGCTGATTTATCGCAGTTGAAAGATGTTAAAAAATTGTGCTAAAGTTTAGTGTTTCATTTCTTTGCGTGTGAGTGTATTATTTCTGAACAACATCAAGTATTTTCATATTAAATTCTTTTGATTTTTAATTAGTTATATTTTTATTGATATTATATTTTTCTTATATAAAGATTATATATTTCTTATAAGTTCTACAATTATATTAAGATACATGTATATTGAAATAAAATATGCAATTATATATTATTTTATTAAATATAATAATTTTAATATTAGAATATAACATTTTTATAATATAATATTTTTAATGTTAAAGCATTATATATATTTCAATATTAATTTTAAATTTATTATATAATAGAAATATTATATAAATATATTATATAAATTTATTATATAATAGAAATTTATCTAAAAAATTGAGAAAATTGAAATAACTCAAGTTGATAATTATATTTCTGCCTTGCAATATATTTTTTAAACCAAAAATATTATAAATAATTAATTTAGAATATAAAATATTAATATAAAATATTAATTTAGAATATAAAACATAAATACAGAGTAGTATTTTCCATTGCATAAATATTACAAATGTTAAATATCTATTAGATATCTTTAAATTTATTTAGAGAGTTTGTAAGATTGAAAATGAAATTAGAATCCGCTAGGCAAGAATTAAGTCAAATATCGAATGTATTTCGATTCAATGATTGTCAATAAGATCTATTGAAATGCGTGTCATATACAACGGTTCTTTTTGCTCAAGACTGAATCCTGTGGCAGAGCCCGTATAAGGTTCGTCTTGAAGCTGACTGAATCCTTTTCCTCTTTGTATATAACTTTATTATTATTATTTGTTGTAATGATTTGTTGAAAAGTTTTTATTTGAAATTCACATATTCAAAGAAAAAGATGGATATTGAGACAATCTGATCTATATCGAGGAACGAAATTCCAAAAAAACAAAGTTCTAATCAACCTGCTCTTGCGTCTGTTGTAAAAATTTTCAGTCTCAAATCATTTTTAAATTTACATTACTTAAGTTTTACTAAATATTCGACTAACATGTATCTATTTATATATTGGAATATTATTGCAATAACATCTCTACACGTCTTGGAGCAGAAGCAAAACCAGCAGAGCGTGACGTCGAGTTGTCGTCGTTGTTTTTAATGACGAGTCCGTCGAGTGAAGTGCTCGTTTAATTACCGATGCTCGTTTCAATGTGGGCCCTGCCTGGGTCGCACCACCATGGACCCGATCCCGGTCCGCCCACCCGCATCCGCTGCACTAGCCCACGTAGAAAGGTGCAACGATGTACGTACATACAAATATATATACTTTAGTACGTCGATAAACCGAAGACTAACTACCAATTCGCTAATTCGCAGCTGCACCCTTCCTTATAATTAAATTTTTATAAAACTTCATTCGTATCTTACGAATATTAAGAAAAATAATATCATATGTTCAGCATTTCTCTCTCTTTCTTTTCTATGTTATATGAAATGATAGAGCAAATTATCATTCCTTGAACGGATCAGCTACATGAAAAATTAATAAATTTAACATATTTCGAGAGTTATGAAATTAACATTATACAAAATATTTTTAATCTTATAAAATACAAAATAAATAATTAATTTGCGTGTAAGTTAAAGTGAAAATTTATCTTTAGAATATAATTTAATCTCGATACACACACATACACACACACACACACATGCACACACAGGGTGTTCGATAAAAATTGGATTAATAATGAATAAAGATTGGATTCGTGAGCGAAAATTGAATAGAAAAGTTCTTTACCATTTTGCTTGCAATTTTCGCAATAAATATTAATTAATAAGGACTGGCAAATGAGCGCACATTTTGCATAGCTGTATGCTCTAGGTATGTCAGCGGCGAGTATCACATAGCAACGAAAAGTTTAGCCGTGCATTTTCCAACTCTTATCTTTTCGTGAGACACTGACTGTTAATACGCATTAAAAGAACTTTGCATAGTGTCAAATTCATAAATCTTGAAATGTATTAAATTATTAATTTTTAACGTAGCTCCATTCAGTTCTTTCTTAAATTTTATCGTGAAAATTTTATTCTATAAAATGTAGCGAAAGATTTCATTTTTTACTTTTCTTTTATGTGATAAATAAAGTTACTATTTAAATATTTAAATATTAATACGGATCCAAGTTTTGTCAAGATTCACGTAATATTGGATTTAAATTATTCATATGATCGTAATAAATATTCCGCCACTAAGTTATTGATCGGCTATTTTCCATTGATACAGGCTTTTGAAAACAAAAATTTGTCTCGAAAAATATTTTACAATGAATCATCTATGAATTTTATAAATTTTCCATATTTCATCTATTTTATAAATTTTCTATTTTGTCTTTAAAACGTGAACTTTAATATATTTGCTTTCTTTCATTAAGCATTGAAAATCAGACTTATGCATAAGCTAGAAGCTGTCTCGTAAATAAGATAAAAATTACTCGTGGTTTTGCGAACTATTATATAATAATAGAACTGATAAAAATGGATAAAAATAAATGAATAGGAAGTAAAGGATTTAAGAGCAATTAGTAATGTGTTTAACTGATTTGTTTAATTCGTATGAAGCTTCGTATTAGGAATTGTAATAATTAGAGGAGTTTATAAAAAATTGGCTTTCGCATAATAATTCGCAAAAAAAGACGATTGATCTGGAAGCAACATGAAATCGCGTGGGAAATTACCGTTTAGAATCGCCTAGACCAAAGTTAGCTATACAGTGAATGCACATTTCTTGATGTACTCTTTCTCTTCCTCACCACGATCATCGGAACCGTTCATCTTAGGATTCCTACGGACTCCTTGATGACCTTCCGATGCAATGGAGGAAAAAACGCACGTTAGTGCGCACATGAAGATCAGACAGATATTAAGTTGGGATGTGAAAGTAGAAAGTAATGATTCGCGAATCGACAAACGCTAAACGCGAAACAGATACATCTGTTACGGTGAATGGCTAATCAAATATCTTTTCTATCATTGCACGCACTTATTTACCATATAAAAATTCTTAATAATTTATTTTATGATGCACCACTTTTTCATTGCTGATTGTGATTTATCTTACTATTCTTCATTATCGAGAAGAATCGAGAAAAAGAGTAATTCTCGCGAATAATTTGTTAAGTATTTTCTGCTTGAATTTGAGTTCTCCAATCTTTTACACTTGTTACTTTTCTAGAATCCTTTGCATAAGAAATTCCATATATATTTATGAAGCTGGACGATATTGATTGGCAAAATGGCACCTTTAGAAAATATTGCAGTTCTAGATAGACTTGAATACATAAGGCGCGAGAACAGAAGACTCGCGGCAATCCCGAACAACTTGCAGATACGCATGCGCCGCTTTAGCGCGGCGGAGGACGAAGAGGACGCGATGAGGGAGAGAGATCGAGGAAAAAAGAGAGAGATTAAGCTTCCTCTTTGATGTAGACGGAGATAGAAAGAGTACCAGTCGTAAAAGAACGACCGTGAGGATCGGCAAAGTTGTCGGAGCGGCCACCAGCTAGCCAAGCCAACAGTCAACCAGTCGGCCGACCTGCCGGCCAATCAGGCAACCATGCTTGGTTCGACGATGGCTTAGTCGCAAGTCAGTCAGTCAGTTCGCCGCGAACCTCCGTCGCGTGCTTATGCGTATTTTATTATTTTATTAATAATAAAAAAATAGTAAAAAAAAGAAAGAGAAAAATTACGATACGTCGAGAGTCTCGGCGAAACCTTCTTCTTCCACGAATTTAAATGACTCACGCTGATCAGGGGAAAGGGGTTGATCTAATCTACTCAGCCATCAACAGGTGAAATAATAAGTGACGGTACATATACGGTTTATCTCGCAGTTCTCGTTCTACTCGCTCTGCTCGCGTGTGAATATGTATGATGCGGATCCGAGTGTATTGCCGAGTGTGCGATGTAGGATCTCTCTATCTTATCGGACAATACGTACAATACGTATCTACATTTGAAGGAGAATAGGAAAAAGTTTTCACACATAAGAGTGTGAAATAGAAAAGAAGAGAGAAAGAGAAAGCACTCATAAGAGAAAGAGAAGAACGACATGGCGCCCCCCAACAGACCGCCTCGCCCTGGCTCCGGCCTCAGTCTCTCCGTACTCGGTGAGTTTATAATTGAAAGATTGCTCGTTTCTTATCTCTTCTTCACAAGATTTACACGCAATTTGTGTTTCTTCAACATCACTTCAAAAATCACTTGCATTAAATTCGCGCGAACTCAGATTTGATTTATTTAAAAACCATGAGGAATCATGCAATGAGTCTTCTATTCTAATTTCAAATCGCATTTTGAATTCCTATTTTAAATCTTCCATAGTATGTCCTTTTGCATTTTGCGATAATTTCGATAAAATAAAAACTGCTAGGATGTGCGATTTTAAAATTAATTAATGAGATGCGGCGCATCCTCAATATGCTAATTGTAAAAAAGAGAGAAAGAGCGAGCTTATGATCTACTCGCACTGAGAATGTAATCGCGCATCGATTGCCTGGCGCTTAAATCGCGTGTTGTCGCTTGTTATCAGAGACGTGATTAAATTTTATGTGAAGCCTTCTCAAGCGCGTCACGCTCGATATTATAAGAGAAGATATCGAATATAAATAATATCTTTTTATATAAAAAAACACATCAAAAACTTTAATATATATAATTCATAATTTATATATATATATTTTTAATATATAAAATTAATATATATATATATATATATATATATATATATATAATTAATAGCATTTTCTTGCTTTGAGAAAAAGTTTGATAATATTACAAGTATGTTATAATATCTTTGTTTAGATAGTGACATACCTTTAATCAAACAAATATAAAATGTTGATAACATTAAGTTATTAATTTAAATTTGATAATTTTTTATTCCTTTAAAACTCTTCAAGGAATATATTTATTTTTCCTTTTTTTTTCTTAGATAAGAACTGTGCATACGGAAATGTCGAGTCTCATACATTCTAATGATCAGTTGCCGGCGTTAGTTCAGCATCGTTGGTCTTCTAGCGAAATAACAGTACTCTTCAGCTTTAGACTGAACGACACAGAGATTCGCCGGTGTTAGCATAAGTGTGAATCAAAGGTGGGAACTTGATGAGCGTTGTGCTATACTATTTTGTTAAAGACACTGTCTGAGCAGTTGACGCCACAGAGTGGAACGACGAACTTCCGTTAAACTGCACGCATACATGTGTAGATTTGCGATGACTGAACTGGTTCCCATGGAAAATGCATAATTTACCGACCATATGTTGGATGAAGAAAATTTGAACTTTATTGCAACCGCGATTGATGAGAATCAGTCGAATCGATATTTTGGCTTGATTTCGAAAAAGGTGAATGAAGGATTCTATCAAAGAATGTGCAAAATTAGATATGCAATTTAAAAATAAGAGAAACATCTGTTATTACATCAAAAATCCATTATTAATGGGACTTAGGAAATTATGGATCCAAAAATCAATGTTGTATGAAATAAAATATCTTCATAAAAAAAATTCTGGTAAACACACAATACTCTAACTCAAAGAGTGAAAAAAATTATTCACATACGTAATTAAACATTGGAAACATTGCGATTGATTGTGTATCATAAATTCTACGCTTTATCAAGTTTAATATGCAATTAAACGAAAAAAATCGATTTGTGGAAAAGAAAAACGCATTAATCTCGATATATCTATTTTATAGTTAGTTATATTGAATTATATATCGGGATGGTCGAGTAATAGATAAGACATCATCGCTATCAGAAGACAGAATTAACTATAAAACGAAACCAAGAAAAGCCTTTTGAGATTTAACAAGCTCTCAGTCTATCATCAATATTCTTCTTTCAAATAAATGTTTATTTATTTTCTTTACATTTATTTTCTTTACATATAATTTAAACAATTTTTTAAAGAATGATAAAACAATTTTTTAAAGAATGATCAAATAAAAGAAGCAGGAAAATGTCAGCTTATATTGTAGATAATTATATATTGCAAATATATATGAACATTTGATATTATTTATGAAATGAAACAAATGTGAATATATTGAGTTTTTATTTCTTATTACTTATTACTTATTACAAATATAAATATTGTAAAAAGAAGTGATTATATAAGTCAATTATATTATTTTTGCTGTTTGAATAATTGTGATATAATTATCTGCATTTGTGCGACTTAAAAAGAATGAAATATAATTAAAATAACTCTTTTCTAATGCTTGAAAAAAATATATTAATATTTTATTAACTCTTTGCAGTTCATAGGCGCCGTTACGACAACATACATTTTATAATGAAATTATTTATGATGCCGAGAGCAGCAGTGACGATAATGAAGTAGAATTTTTTTTATTCGATATAATAACATTTTTTTATATTTCCCATAGGTATCACAAAAATGCCTTAAAATTGTTGATAGGCCACATGACAAAATTAGCTAGAGTGCAAAGAATTATATCAATAATATTTCAGCATTAAATACATTATAAATAATACGTAAATAAATAATAAAATGAATGAAAATATAACAAAAGCTGGAAAAATCTTAGATTATAATTAAATTATTAATCATGTATATAAAATAAATATATTTTTATGAAAATGTGAAAAAGTTTTTCTCACGCAATTCAACATACAATATATTATGAGTATGAAAGACCGCAGGAGGTTATATCCGCTAATATTTCATGACAACGTGTAATGCATCGTTGCGAAATGTGTACACCTGTACCACGCACCTTGCCCTCGATACAGTGTCTAACTTTCCCTGTCGTCTGCACCTAAAATGCGTTCATCTATCTCTCATTGAATGTGTTTTTGAATTTTACATGTAATTATACACACACACTATCACTTAGATGAATAAATAAAAACATATATAAATATTACCAAATTATATTTTATACCGTTATTTTATCCTTTAATAATTTTATGAACAAAACAGCTAAAGAAGAGAATAAAAAATTTAATCATTTACTTGCGTTTCTGTATTGTTTTGGAGATAATGCAATATTTTTGTGACCGCTACTATTTTATATATAAATAGTACCATAAAAATATTTATTTATTTTATATATAAATAGTATCGATAAAAATTACATTATGTATTATCTTCGAAAACAGAAAACGCAAATAAATGACTTAAGTTTTTTATTTTTTTCCCTATTTTATTTATGTTCATAAAATTATACTATATTAAGTATAAGATAATAGTAATAAAATATAATTTATTTTAATATTTATATATATTTTTGTGTGTTCATTAGAAATAGATAATAATTTCCCCATTTTTATAAGGGATGTAACACTTTTGATCAGCACTATATATGTATATCTATTTCTCAGAAGTATATTTTTTATTTTAATATAATATGGCGTCAATAAGTGGGTCAATTGAAGTGGTTCTTTCGAGAGGTGGGTCTCGTGAAAAGAAACGGCTGCGAAAAAAAGAGATCCGAATTCACTCTAACATTCTCAATATAACTATACCATTTATAATTGTGCACCCAAACGCATCTCTGTGTGCGAAATGTGCGAGTACACTTGTTTACGTGAGTCGTATTGTGTGGCAGGATAAAAATAAAGAATAAAAAGGATGGATGATGTCTTGCAATCTATCATTACGGGTGCCAGTACAAAACGTAAAAAAATTCGGTCGTACAAAGATATTCAAAGAAATTGTAAGAAATATTTTTTTGTGGTTGATGCCACTTTTTTCCTCTTTTTCTATTTTTCTTTTCATTAATGCATCCCGAGTTTACAAACATGAAATAGGCATTGAAGAAAGTACACATACGGTGATCTCATGCGACGTTAGCTATATGACTCACTTTGTCGTCATCGAAAATTTTATTTTTTTGAGCTATACATTGATGAGAAAAGTGTTTTCTCTTTTCATACATTTCTTACATCATTTATATAGCGTGAATATTTTTGCAAATCAAGCTATTTAAGTGCAATAAGTATGTAAATAGTAAATTATGTGTGAAAAGTAGAGATAAAATTTTCACTAGAAGAAACTATACTCAATTATTGTGCATTTCTTTTCAGCTATATCGTAATACTTAAAGGCATTCAATGAATTATTTTTCTCCTTCTTCAAAAATATATCTATAATAAATTCTTTTTTTTTATCAATCTTCATTTATCATCTGTCGATCATTCTCTTTAAATCTTCCTCAAAGTATTTAAAACTTCTTAGGCATGAATTTGAATTCTTAGGCATTTATTTGAATAATATGTGTGATTTATTTAAAAATAATAATTTCTAACATAAAGTTACTCATTGTCAAAGAGTTTTATCAATTTTTGCATAATTTTTTGCGAAATAGAGCGATGACTAATTTCCCTGACACGTTCAAGAATTTTGATAATCAATATATTCATAGCAACTTTTTTCTTATTATACTTTAATATTAACAGAAACAAAAAATTATTATTATATAAATTAGTCACGAAATATTTATTACTCTTTCTTATTTAAAGATTTAATTTACTTTAGCAGTGTAAAAAGTTGATAATTTTTATGATTTTTTAAAAAGAATATTAGAAATTAATTTTGTATTTTTATTGATATTTAAACAGTATACATCAATGTTTTTAAATTTTGCATATTCAGTTTTTTCCTTTAATACGAATTTCTGTGCATGTTCAACAATGCTTAGTTCGATGATGTGACATATTACTCCTTACGTCTAAAAGAACTGAACCTAATTAAATTTAGGGAAAATTAAAAAAATAATAAAATATAGTGTCGTTTTAAAATTAAATATATTTCAATTTTACTAAAATTTATTCATTTCTTCAAAGTCAGAGAAATATTAACTATTAATTTTCTAAATTCTAATTCATTAAGGTTCAATATCCCCCCAAAAATTGTATTCTCTAAAAAAGAATTGAATTATTCTATCTATTAATTTTTTCAAAATATCTGTCACAATTTTGAAGACAGATTTTTGAAAAAAACTGCGTTTTTAAAGTTTTGAAGATTCATTTTATGATCTACACGCTATCGTATTCAAAGTCCAACATCGTCAATTTTGCAAAATTTTCGATGAAATATAAAAAATATTCTTCAGATACCATACTTCCAGAAAATAT